ATACTTATAGTATCATATACCCCAAACCCTATTCTAATTCTTTAAGGCCCCTATGTTTGATCGTAGAGAAGAAGATCTGCAAACATAGCTAGAGCCAGAAGTAGGACTGATAGCATAAGCTTGCCCGGAGAAGGCAGGACCTCAGAAGCGAATGTGGACAATGGGCTACGACAGGACTACGGACTTCGGACTTGAAATCGAACTCATATTTCTCTTTCCTACAAACATCGGTGCTTGTTTGCAACTTGCAATGGCACGAAGGAGAATAGAGGCAAGTGAGAGCTGCTGAAGATTGTGAACGGCGAAAGTCGAGAGTATTCACCACCCATGATCCTTCTTATTCGTCGCGTAGGGCACCCTTCTAGAGGCACTGGGTGTCCGAATACTGATGCCGCAGTCGTTCCAAGGCCTGGCGAAGGAGCATGGCGGGTCAGTTGGAGCTTTGCGGAAGCAGGCAGAAGCATTTCAAGTGGCTTCTTTTATGCTACATCCAGTGAGGGAGTGAATGAGAAAGTTAGAGAAAGACAGAGAGAGGGAGAGAGAGAGAGAGAGGAAGAAACAGACGCAGAGATAGAGAGCGAGGGACAGAGACAGAGAGACAGAGAGACAGAGAGACAGAGAGACAGAGCGAGAGAGAGGGAGCAACGGAACTACGAAACAATCAGAGATCTCCAGCGGGGGGGTTCCCAAACATTCGAAACCCGAAGAGTTCTCGGCAGAAGCCCTTTTGCATCTCAGGGATTCGGATCTCAAGGCTTCCAACCCAACAAGGCGCTATTGCAGGTACGTTTGATGAGGACCTTCTATATGCAGCCAAACTGCGAAGGCCCCTGAAGCCGAACCACTCAACCACAGGCTGCAAGATGTTAGGGTTTAGGGTTTAGGGTTTAGGGTTTAGGGTTTAGGGTTTAGGGTTTAGGGTTTAGGGTTTAGGGTTTAGGTGGTTTCTGGATATATATTGCAGTCATAGCTGTCACAACGAGGAAGCCTCTAAGTTGCCTCCTTAATATGTTACACCGTTGCCTAACCCTAAACCCTAAACCCTAAACCCGTACCCCAAACTGCACCTCCCGCATGTTATCGTCCTTGCTGCAGGGCAAGAAGTTGACCAAGCAGGCAAAGCTCCTCAGTTCAGGGGCTTCTTTTGAAGGGGCTTCCAGCTGTAGTCTGCATCATGGTTCCTCATAGTCTAAAGGGTTCTATCAGGGCTCTAATTCTATGGGGGTTCTGTAAGGATCCTTTTTTTGGGGGAGGGCGGGGGGGGGTTAGGGTACCTGTAGTCATGGTAGTTCCTTTTGGTGGTTTAACCCCTTCTACCCTAAACCCTAAACCCGAAGCCCTAAACCCTAAACCGTTTGGGATCCGACAAGGTAACTCCAAGAAGGAACTACAATGGAGACTGTAGCTGCCGAAGCGTGGGGGTGTGGCGGCCTGTTTCCTGCCAGCCTCAAACCTTAGGGTTTTAGGGGAAGCCCCACCTGCAAAACCCGAGGTGCTTGAAGCCATGAACCCACCCCTCCAAAATCTGAATCCTAAAGCTTGACAAGAACCTGAACTGCAAATCCTCCTAGAACCCTTACTTCTTTGGCAACATCACTAATTAACCCTTTCCTTGAACCCCTCAGACTTTAGAGCACTCATTAGCAACCCCAGATCCCAGGCACATGGAGGCCAGTACCCGCTGAAGGTTCCTGGGCGCTTCCTTCCGCAACTCTGCGCGGCGATCCTCGAAGAGAGCGTGGGTTAGGGTTTAGGGTTTAGGGTTTAGGGTTTAGGGTGTAGGGTTTAGGGTTTAGGGTTTAGGGTTTAGGGTTTTTGTGTTTAAGGTCCAAACTTTTTGGGTAGGGCTCGAGGCTTCTAAGGTCTAGGGTTCGATATTTCAGCTGTTGAGTACTGGGAGGCTCTGGGCTTAGCATGACATGCTTGCGCTTGAGCTTTAGAGGGCTCAGGAGTGGACTTTCTACAGGGTTTGAGAAGATTTCCTACTTGGGCTGGTGCAGGATTGATAGGGGGTTGGGGCAGGGCTTCGGGCTTAGGAGTGGAGCTGAGTCTTGAGTTAGAGCCCCGGTGCCGCTCTTCATCATGTGACAGATGCTGAAGGTCACGAATAATCTGAAGAAGTCGTTGCTGGACTGTTGGAAGCATGAGATAGTAGCAAGATCTAACCATGAGTCACTGTTGTGGTCTTTGCAACCTGAACCAGGCAGGCAGGCATTTCCGGAGTAACAGCGAGAGGCTTGCAGTCATGGTTGCCTTGGCTTCCCGGGTGCAGCTCGGCGTCCAAAGGAAACAACTTTCGAGTGGGTCTTGCAATCCAGCAAACGCAAAACGTACTCGGCTAATGTAGGGGCCTCAATAATAGTTAGAATAGCTATAACGATAGTATCATATGCCCCCAAACCCTATTCTAATTATTAAGGTCCCTATATTACTCTGTAGAGCTTCAGGACCTACTTCAGGCGGGCCTGGGGTTCCGACGTATCCGAATCAGGCCGGAAACATCCTGCCTTGCACCCTTCAACTCTGAAACCGGGAAGGTTGAACCCTGAACCCTGTCAACCGCCAAACCTCAAACCCTAAACCTTCGACCTTGAAAAACAAGGCCTCACCCTCAACCCTAAATCCTGAACCCTCTAAAAC